GAGAATAGTTTATCAGAGCTGGCTCATTTTTTTCGCATTTTTTTATGTCACACTTTTTTTCTAGTGAACGGTGCTTAGCCAAGCTGACTAAAATGCTTCATAAATCAAGGAAAGTTTCAGAGCTGGAGAAAAGCGAGTTGCTGCGAGACGGTGATTTCGAAAAGTACAAAGTGTTTAAGGATATCCGCATTATTGGTGTGCTTGGCATAACAAAAAGTGTTCTGCCGGAACTCGCAGTGAGTTTGATTGGGCCATTTAAAAAACGCATATTTTTCATATCAGTATTGAATTATGAGCTTGCCTTATTGGGAATCTCATGCTCATCCTACATTTCATTCAAGCCCAAATACTTCATGCAATTCTGGTAAATGCATTGCTAAATGTACCGATGCACGTGCCGTGCTGCACTCAGTCCTACGAATGTTGGTTGAGGTCAAGCTTGGTTGATAAGGGTATGTTTGCTACTTCCCAGTACCATCACAACCTAGAACAACCTCAACCGAATAACTACCGATGCACTGAAGGTTCCGCAGCTGATGATGCCCCGGTGCAAGGCGCAATCTAGAGTCTAATTTCGGTGTAGTCTTTTAGCAACAACAACAACAAAGGTAAAAACTTAAAATTTCAGGCAAACAGCCCGAAGTTTGCGGTAACTTCAGGCTGTTTACCTGAAATTTTAAGTTTTTATCTTTGTTATTGTTGTTGCTAAAAGACTACACCGAACTTAGACTCTGGATCGCACGTAAAGCCAGGAAAGGGTGTGAAATTCGATGCGTAAATAAAACAGTATCCTCGCATGGGTTTCCTGTCAAAAAAATTTTTTTTAGGTTTTTGTGTATTATGAAGATGATACAGTTGAGGTGGTACCAACGCGTATCGTCGCCTTGAAGGCGCCTGTAGTAAGTCACGCGTAATTATTTTTTTGAGTAATAAACTGTGGGAAAAGCGGCAGGTGGTTTGAACGTAAGAAAATTATTTTTGCTTTTATTTGGCAAGAGCTGCACTGCTATCTTTTTATGCCAGCGACGGTCCGTTAGGCTTATTCGAATGCCTTAAGCAAAAGTCATTTCACGTTCTGTTTATTCAATAATTATTCATACCAGTAACTAATCCTCGGGTTCCACCACCTCTGATACCTTCTGCTTTTGTTTTTGCAACATTTCAAAACTATTGGTCAGTTACGACGGGCACAAACCAAGCCAGACTGGAATAGCTGCATTAGCTCTATGTAATTTTGAATAAAAAAGCAAAAATCCCCGCACATTTCACTTTTGGTGATCAAAAGAAGGTACTCGGAAAGTGATTGTGCGGTACCATATCATTATTACTACCTGCTGGCACCAGTAGTCCAAGCGAAATTTGAAATGTCCATATATGCAATCACCAGAAATTTGTAGCCTGCGATTGTTAACTACGACAACAAAAAGCTGAAAGTTTGATGGGTGCTTGCTATCAAAATGCAACTTTTTTACTCTTTCTCTTCACACCTCCTCAGATTAGAATGCACTTTTATGGCATGACCTTTAGCAATTACCATTGCTATCCCTGCCTATCTGTTCTTAACAAATTATAGACTCTTTAACAGTAGTGCTACTTTCCATCTCGATTTTTCCCATCTTTCACAGCAGGGAGTTACACAACAGGTTTTATCCTTCTACGTGGACTGAGGAGAGCGCAGCTAAACTCTCCATGATGATTTTAAACGACAGATAGAACTTTCGTCACTGTTAGTACCCTCGCCGGTTGCTCCAGAAAAGATATGAAAAGAATGAAGTTTTCGCAGCTAAGACATAACTCAGGCTTTGGCAGTTATTCTACTGTGACATGAGAACTTTGCGTCAAGATACATCAAAAGTGGCTTTGCATTAGTAAAAGCAGCAAACCCACCCATCCGAAATATTCGGATGCATTTCTGTCAAATGTTTATCACGGCTCATGCTGCGCGATCACTCTTGCCACTTCTATGCACAACTGTGAATTTATACCGCTTTTTAACTCATTCAATGTTTACTGCATGGAAAAGCTAGTCAAATTGTTTTTTTTTTTTCAGCTACTGATCAAGTACTATGAGAAGTATCTACGTGTTTGGACTAGAAAGTTAACTTATTAGAAAGTTAACTTGAAAGCACCGTAGGTTCTCGAGTCTTTCCTATGAAATTTCGCTCTGTACTAG